GCCATTTTATTACATGTTTTGTGGTTGTTTCTTAAGATTTTCTTTGAACCTTTATCATCTTTCTCTTTCACGGTCTGATTTTAACTGATATCTTTGAATTTCTTTGCCTTTATTTTTTGCATGTTTATTGGTGGTTTTTGATAGATCGTTATACCATTAGGTTTGTATATAACATCTGCATACAGCAGTCTATATTAAGTTCATGGTTGTTTAAGTTTGAACCCACTCTTTTCTTCTCTCCTCCCCACGTTTTAGGTATATGGTGTCATATTTTATACCCTCTTTTGTGAGTTCCTGGACTGATTTTTTACAGAAACATTCATTTTTACGGCATTTATGTTTCCTACCTTTATACTATCACTTTTGGTATCCCCTTTCCACTCAGAATTCCCTTAAATATTTCTTGTAGAGCTGCTTTAATGGTCATGAATTCCTTTAGTTTTTGTGTGTCCGGGGAACTCTTTATCTCTCCTTCTATTATGAATGACATCATTGCTGGACAGAGTATTCTTGGCTGCATATTTTTCCCATTCAGCATGCTAGGTATATCATAACACTCCCTTCAGGCTTGCCAGGTTTCTGTTGCAAAATCTCCTGCTAGCCTTATGGGTTTTCCTTTGTACATTACTGACTTATTTTGTCTTGCTGCTTTTAAGATTTTTTTTCTCCAACACTGTATTTTGGAAATTTAATCACAATATGTCCTGATGTAGGCCTGTTTTTGTTGATTTTGATGAAGAGTTCTCCGTGCCTCCTGGATCTGGATGTTTGTTCCCTTCCTTCCTTCTCTCTCTTTGTCTACTAGAACTCCTATAATACCAAAGTTATTACATTTAACGGAGTCACTGAGTTGCCTAAGTCTGCTCTCGTTTTGCATAATTGAACTGCTTTCAATTACTATGCCTTCGTCATTCATTAATTCTTCTGCTTCTTCCAGCCTGCTGTTCACTGCATCAAGTGTGTTTCTAATCTTGTTTATTACACTCTTCATCTCTGATTCTTTAACTCTTTTATCTCTGTGGTAAGGGTGCTACTGATGTCCTCCATTCTTTTCTCAAGTCCAGTGACTATCTTTATGATTGCTACTCTAATTCTCCATCAGACATGTTATTTACATCTATTTTGCTTAGATCTCTGGTCACGGCCTTATCTTGTTCTTTCATTTGGGACAAATCCCTGGTCTTCTCATTTTGTCTAAATCTCTGTCTGCTTCTGTGTGCTAGAAAAGCCAGTTATGGGGCGCCTGGGTGGCTCAGTCGGTTAAGTGTCTGACTTCAGCTCAGGTCATGATCTCGCAGTTTGGGTTTGAGCCCTGCGTCGGGCTCTGTGCTGACAGCTCAGGGCCCAGAACCTGCTTTGGATTCTGTGTCTCCCTCTCTCTCTGCCCCTTCCCTGCTCACTTGCACTCTATCAAAAATAAACGTTAAAAAAAACTTGAATTAAAAAAGGAAAAAGAAAAGCCAGTTATCTCTCCCGCTCTTGAGAGTTATGGCTTCATGAATAAGAGGTCATATAGTGCCCAAGGCCTGGCACTTCAGGGTGTGTGTGCTGTGTGTGCTGTGTGTGCTCTGCTGCTCTGTTCTGGTTGCTCTGTCCTTGAGGCCAGTTGTCTGCAGAGGCGCTCCTTGCCTGCTATGGGCAGAGTTTAGTCCCTGGCCTAAATGTGGTGAGTTTTAGCCAGTTTTGCTTTGATCTGCTTGTGAAATGGGACCTCCACTGGAACTGAGGCCTTGCCAAACTCTCTGGTTGGGAGACGTGGTACGGGCAAGGGTTTGTGCTATCCTTCTGGCACAAAACGGCTGCCACAATGCGGCTAAGGTAAGCATGATCGAGAAGGGCAGTCCCAACAGAGCACACGGGGGTGGGGCTTGGCGTACACAGGTTAGGCAGCCGGTATCTTCCCACAGGTGGCTCTGTGTTTATGCTGAGGGGCTGGGGAGAGACGGTGCCAGCCAGCTACTCTTGTTCTCGGAGAGGTCTCTCCATGAATGGGGTCTCTCTGGGCTACACTCCAAGAAGAGCAAATAACCTCCCCATTGTGTGCCCCACGGGCTCTTCAGGTCACTGTTTCCATGTCATCTATCTCCAGGCTGTTGGCCTGCCTTCTCTCCAAGAGCAGCGCAGTGCCCTCCAGGCTCTATTTCCCACTGACCTTTAAAAGTCCAGTCTTCAAGCTCTGCTGGTTCCAAGAACTCACAAAATTTAGTCCCTCTTGTTTTCTAAGCCAATGGCTGTGGGGAGATGTTCTCTTATGAGTTCCCTTGTGTGCTCCTCTCTCTCTCACCCTTCTCCATGACCATGGCTCCCTCCCTTCAGCAGCAGCCAGGATTCGTTTCTCCCCAAACCAGGTCTCTGCACTTCCTACCTTCTTCAATGTGACCTCTTCTCTCTAATTGTGGAGTCTGTTCTGTCAGTCTTCAGGTGAATTTCTGGGGTATTTTGTCAGATTTGATAGTTATCTAGTTGTATTCACGGGATGAGCTGAGCCTAGGGTCCTCCTACTCCACTGCCATCTTCCTATTTCTAGCATCACTTCATTAAAAAAAAAATTTTTTTTTAACATTTATTCATTTTTGAGAGACAGAAAGAGACAGAGCATGAGCGGGGAAGGGGCAGAGGGAGGGAGACACAGAATGTGAAGCAGGCTCTCAGGCTCTGAGCTGTCAGCACAGAGCCTGATGCGGGGCTGGAACCCACGGACTGTGAGATCATGACCCGAGCCGAAGTTGGACGCTCAACCGACTGAGCCACCCAGACGCCCCTAGCATCACTTCATTTTTTAACGTACAGACTGAAAACTCAAAACAGCCTGAGACTCTTTACTTTTTAAGCATGAACAGAATATCCCAGATTTACTTCCAAGAAGGTGAGAAGTCTGAGAACATGGACTACGTCTTTTACTTTTACCCTATTACGTATTTAATAATTAGCTACCTAATATTTTAGCCCATTTCTAAATAACAGCTTTTATGTAAAGTGACTTGCTTGCATTCCTGATTTCTTCTGCACATTTCACTTGAATGTGAAAAGTCTAAAATGATGGTTTTGTGGTATCACCTGAAAACTTTCACCTTCATCCTTTCTACTAACCCTTTCCAGAGTTTACCTTTAAAGCTTATTTCCTTTACTACTAAAACTTATTTCCTTACTTCTCATTCCATCTGAACCCATCATGTCTGTCACTAGAAAAAATTAGTTGTCTAGGAACTCTGGCTTTGGCCAGATCATCTTTGTTTTCTGTAAAGTCATTTTCAGCAACAGCTTAATTATAAGTTTGATTACATAATAATGTAGTTGCAAATGAAGAGTCATAGTTTTTTTTTGTTTTGCCACCACCAGTTCTAAGTAGTTAAGAGTCATAATTTTTGATATTATTTTTTTAATTTTTTAATGTTTATTTTTGAGAGAGAGAGAGACAGAGCATGAGCAGGGGAGGGGCAGAGGGAGAGGGAGACACAGAATTCGAAGCAGGCTCCAAGCTCTGAGATGTCAGCACAGAGCCCAATGCGGGGCTCAAACCCCGGAACAGTGAGATCATGACTTGAGCCGAAGTCGGCGCTTAACCGACTGAGCCACCAGGTGCCCTGACATTATTTTTTTAAGTTTTATTTTGAGAGAGAGAATGTGCGTGCATAAGTGGGGGAGGGGTGGCGGTGAGAGAGAGAGAGACAGAGAGACAGAGAGAGAGAGAGAGAGAGAGAGAGAGAGAGACAGAGAGAGAACCCCGAGGAGGCTCCATAATATCAGCACAGAGCCTGATGCAAGGCTCAGACCCACAAACTGTGAGATCATGGCCTGAGCCCAAACCAAGAGTCAGATGTTTAACCAACTGAGACACCCAGGTGGCCCCGTAATTTTTGGTATTATAAGCTTGGCTAAAAATTACAATGATTTTGCTTTAGAAATGTAGACTTGATAACAAGGACACAAATTAACCATTAATGAATCATTAACTGTTTGGAATACAACCACATTTCCACAATTTGGGCATTTTCGTTTAGATATGCATTTAACGGTCACATTCATAAGCCAAAGGTGAGTGAACACAAGAGTTCTGTAGTTAGGCCTTTATCAAAATACTTGAGTCATCTGGGTAAGATCTCTTGCAGTGTTTATTCACTTCTGATTTTATTTAAGATGGAGGGTATGAATCTGCCGTAAGGTAGGAAAATGGAAAATGATGCTTGAAGAACCAAAATAAGAGTATAAGAAACTAAAATTCCCACCAAATGACTGGTCTATAGATACATAAAGAAACTAGTTGTTTTCATGCAAATTAAGCATCCATGATGTGCCAGAAAGAACCAAAAGGTTGAAAAGTAAATATAAAAAGTGAAGCCACCTATTTTCATTACAAAATAAAGTCCCTATTGGATTCAACTTTCTTCATGTTTTATAAAAATATACACACTTTTACAAATGCCAGAATCGCTTAATGAAATAATGTGAAAGTTACTAAGGTGATTATTCCAAATTAAATCCTAAGAGCTTAAAGAATAGTTGATAATATGAAACTGTGACCATTTAAGGTTTTTACGGTGCCATGTGTGAATCAGTCTGTGGTATACGAAAGAAAGTGATGGCACATCTTCAGGCTCGAAATTCTTCTCCGGGCCGTCTGTTTCTTAAAATAATCGCAAACAGCAATTTTGGTCTTACAAAGGAATTCTTATAGCTAGTGAATGAGTTCCTTCAGTTTTTTTAAGGACCAACTGTCTTAGAATAACCTTTTCTTTTCTTTCCTTTTCTTAGAAACACCAGTTTTCAATGAAGCCGTGGAAGGCGGACACGGGCTACTTGTTGCATTGGGGAAAAGAGGAACAGTTGAAAATATACAAGAATACGGATCAGTAATAAATAACAGGTCAGTAATAAAATTATGCTTCTCAGGGAAAGTTATTTATCAAAGCGATAAACACGTTAGTAGCCTTGCGGAATTCACGCCAACTTGGCCGTATGTCTAAAATCACCCACAAAAACACACTGAAACGAGTACTCACCACTGAATGATTTCCGTGATTTGAGCTTCCCAATGCGCAACCGATTCTTTCTTGTCTGCCAGGTCTTTCACCTCCTCTTCTAACTGCTGGTTGCGTATACTTAAGTTCTCATACAAGGTGGTGAGCTGAAAGGCAGTTTTAAGACACGTGTGACTTTTGCGAACAGGAATGTAAGGTGCCCAGACGCCTCTTGTTAAATTCGATAACTCACCATATTCCGCTAAACACTGATGGTCTTCCTGATTTCTTATTAGGCACCCTTCTGGTCACTGAATTTGGAAACATCGAATATTTTCTCTTCCTGCCTTTGCTTTTCCCCTACTCCTTGTGCTAAACTGCTTCCCTCTGCAAACCTCCAGTTGCCTGAAAACTCCCCAGGTTCCACTGATAACAACATCTCTTGGTTTTTTTCTTGATCTGAAAATCTCTATGTCATCCTTTTTAAAAAATAGAATCTTGTAAAGAATTTCAAGCATATGTAAAAATGGGACAGTGTAAGTTAATTCCCATGAGCCCACACCCAACATCAACAATTATCACCTCGATGCCATTTTATTTTTTAAACATTTTTTAAATTTATTTTTGAGACAGAGAGAGACAGAGCATGAATGGGGGAGGGTCAGAGAGAGGAAAACACAGAATCTGAAACAGGCTCCAGGCTCAGCTGTCAGCACAGGGCCCGACGCGGGGCTCGAACTCACAGACCGTGAGATCATGACCTGAGCTGAAGTAGGAGGCTTAACCGACTGAGCCACCCAGGCGCTCCCGATGCCATTTCATTTGTATCCTGTCTTCTTCCTCCCTCCTCCTGTATTATTCTGCAGCAAATACCAGACACCTATAATTTTACATATATATTTCTGTGTATATGTCTTGCAAATAAGGCCCTCTCTTTGAAAATATAAGCACGGTGTTATTAAATTTAACGAGTTTCCTTATTATCATCACATAGGTCGTAACTTCAAATTTCCAGTTACCTCGAAAGATCAAAACACGTTAACAGTTTATTAAACTGAATCATGTTGCCAACAAGTAAACACAGATTAATGTTCCCTATGTCCTTTAAGTCTCTTTTATTTATACCAGGGACCGGGTGGTTTAAACGGGAGACATTTATTTCTCACAGTCCGGAGGCTGGAGAGTCCAGGATCGAGGTGTCAGCAGATTCAGGGTCTGGTGGGGCTGCCGCTGCTGGGTTCACAAATGGCGGTCTTCTGGCTGCCTCTTTATGAGGTGGGAGGCCTGAGAGGGGTCTCCAGGGTCGCTTTCATAGGGATAATAATCCCATCATGAGGGTTCCACCCTAGGCATTAACCACGACCCACAGGCAGCACCTCCTCATACTATCGTATGAGAGGTTACGTTTCAACATGGGAATTTTGGAGGGACGTAAACATTCCAGTCTATAGCAGTTCCCCTCCAGAACTTTTACTTTTCTTGTAATTTATTTGTTGAAAAAAGTAGGTTGTTGGTCTTGCAGAGTTTTGTAGTCTCAATTTCTGCTTTCATTTTTGAAAGATTTTTTTTTTTTTGATGTATAGAACATTCTAAGTTGGCAATAATCATCCTCCAGCACTTTGAAAATGTCATTCCTTTTTATTCCCTGTTTTTATTCCTGTTTGATTTCATTTTTTTCTGTTGGGAAGTCAGCTTTCGGTTTAACTTTTACTCGTTTGAATATAATGTGACTTTCTGCTCTGACTGCTTTTAGGATTTTCTTTAGCTGCAAGTTTTTAGTCGATTTTCTCTGATGTCCCTAAGTGGGTTTTAGTTTCTATGTATCACGTTTAGGGTTTGTGGCATTTCCTGAATTTGTACGTAAATGTTTCTCATAAGGTTTGGAAAATTATGGGCCATGTACTCTTCACATACTGTTTTTGCCAGTCTCTCTGTCCTCTCCATCTGGGAAAGCAGATATTTGTACATCAGATCTTTATACCATGTCCCCTAGGTTTCTGTCCTCTTCTAGGTATTTCCATCCTTTCTAATCTCTACCCATACTTTAGCCTGAAATTTTTTTTTACTTATCCACTCTTTTCTTTGGCTCTTTCCAATCTGCTGTTAAAATCTTCTATTGGGTATTTCGGTTATTTTAGTTTTTACTTCTAGAGGTGCCACCTGACTCTTTTGTATACATTCCAGTTGTCTGCTGAAATTCATCACATTTCCTATTTTCTATCATACAGTTATTTTAAATTTTCATTTATGAAAATTCTCATGGGAATCTCTGTGGGTTTATTTATATGGACTGTCTAGTTTTCATTTTTTCTTTCCTTATTTTGTTTTTGCAATATTTTTACTCTTGGTTTTCAGTGATGCAGTTGTATCTCCTAGTATGCATGGTAATTGTTTAATGCATGCCACACATTTTATATGAAAATTTTAGAGGTAATTTGAGGCTCAGTATAATATCCCCCTCTTTAGACCCAAGATAGGTCAGGTACTGCAGGCTGGTTTTCAGTCATTGAGAGTGCTCATCTCTTTCCAGTTCACTCTTACTCCTAAAATGTAGCCTTTCAATGAGTCCAAAGAAAGCTTGTATTTCTCTCTCCAAACCTGTGGAATACTGTGCTCAGCTTCCTGGCTCCTCAGCTACTGCTTTCCTATCAGCAAATGCTTCAAGGAAAACCAGCACCGAGTGCTGGGCTCAACGCCCTGCACTGCTCTGCTATGGGATCTTGGTCAGTAAAGAAGGCTGCCCTCTTCACTCTCCAATGCCTTGCTGCAGATAAATACAGTGGGAAATTAAAACAAGTAAAGAATAAATCCAGCTCTTGTGGAGGTGGTGGGTATGATGCAAGCTAATCTGTCCTAGTCAGAAGCAAAAGTTCCTGCTTTAATACATTTTTAAAAATGTATGATAAAATATTTGCATTCAATTTTTATCTCATGGTTACATTTTCTCTCATAAATGGTCTCAAGCTGCGTTAGTTAGTATTCCTTTCTTGCTTTTTGGTATGTTTTATAGAGATACTGTGTTCATTTCCTTTCAATTACTCAACTTGAAGAAGATGAATTTTTCCTAGAAGAGCTATTTACAGGTCTGTGGAGATGAGGGGCCTGGTGATGGTTAATTGTATGTGCTAACTTGACTGGGCCACACAAGGTACCCACATGTGATCAGGGCGTGTCTGTGACAGTGCCTCTGGATGAGATTAACACTTGAATCAGTAAACTGAATAAAGCAGATTGCCCTCCCTAACATAGTGGGCCCATCCGATCAGCTAAAGGCCCAAAGAACAAAAAGATTGACCCTAGTGAGTCAAACCTCCTCCTGTCTCAATGCCTTCAAGCTGGGATGTTGGTTTCTCCTGCCTTTGGACTCTTACTGAAACAGCAACTCCTCCCGGGTCTCAAGCCCTTTGGACTCAGACGGAAACTACATTGTAGGCTCCCCTGGGTCTCCGGGCTGCAAACTGCAGGTCTTGGGACTTGTCAGCCTCCATAATCAGGTAAGCAAATTCCTTACAATAAGTGTCTTTACACATACGTGTGTGTGTGTGTGTGTGTGTGTGTGTGTGTGTGTGCATGTGTATGTTAGGTTTAGTTTCTAATACAGGCTGAAACCATGTTCTAAGTCAGGGATCTGCAAACTTTCCAGTAAAGCATTAGATAGTATGTATTTTTGGCTTTGTGGGCTACATGTGGTCTCCATCACATCTTGTTCTTCTTAGAAAAACCTACTTATAAGTGTAAAAACTCTTCTTAGTTCATGGGTCACAAAGAAACAGTCTGAGAGCCGGATTTGCCTACAGGCCACATACGCCAACTTCTCCATCTAAATGTATCAGCAATTCTCCTAATGACCCAGGGTTTTTCTTGCGTGTGTTTTGGCCTATCCTTCTGTGAGAGAGAGACACTTACGACACAACCCAATGTGGTTTCATTTCTTCCACTCTACCAAAGGAACACAGCTGTAATTCCCTGTTTAACCCTATGCCCAACCTCATGGTCTTCTCAGAATGAAATGGGGTCCAGAGAAGCTATCAAGGCCCACGTACACCCTCAGCTGCCTATTAAGAAGGGATTTAAGTTCCGTAACTCAAGGGTGCCACTTACGTCTGAAAACGTACTTTACCGGCTCTCTTCTTTTTACAGATTTACTGAGGTATAATTTACCTGTAATAAAACTCATCCGTTACAAGTGTATGGTTCAAAGATTTTTAATAAGTTTAAGCAGTCATGCAACAATCACCACAATCCCGTGTTGGAACACTTCTAGTACGAGAAATTTCCCCAGTGCTGGTTTGCAGTCAATCCTGGCTCCCACCCTGAGTTCCAGGCATCACGGATCTGTTTTCTGCTTCTCTGGTTTTGCTTTTCTTAGCAATTTAATACCTCATCATATTACTGAGGTTCAACCACAGTGTTGCACGTATCAGAAATCCATTCCTTTCTACAGCTGAGTGAGTAGTAGACTATCATATGGATAATAGGAAACCTTATTTGCCTGTTCATTAGTTGGTGGGCATGTGTATTGTTTCCAGTGGTTTGCTTTTGGGAAGAATGGTGCTATGCACATTCACATACAAGTCTTGAAAACGGCTCTGTTTTTAATTCTCTTACATAAGTAAGTAGGAAAATTTCTGGGTCACGTGGTAAGTGGATGCTTAACTTTCTGAGAACTTTTGAAACTGTTTCTAAAGTGGCTCTCCCACCTTCCACGCCTGCAAGCAGCGTGGGATTTTCAGTTCCCCCACGTCCTTGCCAACAGCGGGTATGGTCATTCTTATGGATTCTGTCCATTCTTGAGGGTGTACAGCTGCACGTGACCATGGTTTTAACTGGCGTTTTCCTGACCACAATGAACATCTGTGCACGAGCTGATCTGCCATTCATAGGTCTTTCATGAAATGTCTGTTCAAAAACTTTCCCCATTTTTTTCAATGGGTTGTTTGTATTTCTTTCTTATTAACGAGTGTTAAGAGTTCCTTCTCCATTTCGAGTACGTTTCTTCTGCAAATGTGTCTTTCGCCCATTAACGGGGGTCCATCTCTCCGCTCGTTCAGACATTCCTTCACTTATCTCAGCAATGTTTCGGAGCGGTCTTCCTCCCCTTACTTCCCAGAGCTCCAAAATCATTGTTTTTGACAATCGTGTCCACCTTGAAATGTTTCTTTTCTTGAGAGGATTCATCAATCTCTTCATGTTAGCCTAGCCAGAAGTCTACCAGCTGTTTCTGAAATTTCTTCTGGCAGATGCAACATCTTCGCTAATTCCTACAACACACCTTTTTTGACAGCCCTTCCAACTAATTTGTGAGTGACGTCAACTAGATGTTTGCAGGAAGGAGAGGAAATGCAGATTTTGCACGGCTATGTTACGACACCCACAAGTGGTTTTAAGTAGATTTGTTTGGTATTACTCAGAGAAATGCTAATATTTTCATTACTACTGAATAAAAGCATGGACTCTGGAGCCAGACTGCCTGTGGCCAAATTCCGTTTGGCCACTTCCTGGTTCTCTGATTAGGAAAGGAGCTTCATTCCCTCTGCCTCAGTTTCCTCATCTATAAAATGGCAAGAATAATTGGGTACACCTCACAGAGCTTTTGTGAGGATAAAATGATTTATATAAAGTAACTCAGAAGTAAATTCTGAGTAAATATAAAGTAACTCATTAGTACATTCTACCTAAGGGTTTGTTCATTTTGCTTCTTTGGAAATGAGAAGGTTTTGCTATTTGTACATTGACATATTTGGCTTATAGTAATTATAAGACTACATAAGAGTATGGAAACATGCTCAGGACATTTTAAGTGAAAAGGCAGATTAGAAAATGGAATGTATATATGACTGCACTTACGTAATAGTATAAATATAAACAAAATCTGGAAAGGAACATATAAAATTACCATAGTTGTTTTGTGGTGATGAGATCATGGGTTAACTTTTATGTTAAATATATTCCACGTTTGTTTTTTTTTTGTTGTTGTTTTTTTTTAATTTTTTTTTTCAACGTTTATTTATTTTTGGGACAGAGAGAGACAGAGCATGAACGGGGGAGGAGCAGAGAGAGGGAGACACAGAATCGGAAACAGGCTCCAGGCTCTGAGCCATCAGCCCAGAGCCTGATGCGGGGCTCGAACTCACGGACCGCGAGATCGTGACCTGGCTGAAGTCGGACGCTTAACCGACTGTGCCACCCAGGCGCCCCTCCACGTTTTTTATAATTCTGTTTTTTTGTAAAATAGTGTGATTTAAAACCAAGACAAAAATAATATTTTTCCTGACTGGAAAATCATTTACTTTCACTTCCTAACATATATGGCTAATTTTATTTGCCATAATTATCTTTAAAAGAAAATTTTTTTATGTTTATTTTTTTGGGGGAGAGAGAGAGAGAGAGAGGTCGAGCAGGGGAGGGGCAGAGAGAGGGAGACACAGAATTCAAAGCAGGCTCCAAGGCTCCAAGCTGTTGGCACTGAGCCCGATGTGGGGCTCGAACTCATGAACTGAGAGATCATGACCTGAGCCAAAGTCGGAGACTTAACCGACTGAGACACCAAGGCGCCCCTGTAATAAATTTAGCAGACTTCTGAAAATATCAACACACTTTCTTTTGATTTCCTTTAAAATTTTAATTTTTAGAGTTTAAAACTGTGCATGTGAGAATCTCTTCATGAGATTAATTATGTAAGTTTGAAAACTAACCTAAGAGTTGCCTTCTGGCTTCTATACCAGAAGTTCTGTTTGAATCCCTTCACTGGGTTCCAGATGGAAGGGCTGGAACAACAATGGCAAAAGTACTCTGCTTACTCCTCCTGGCAAAAATACACAGTTCAAACCAAACCAGAAAATGAATGAACAGAAGAAACAGTGCTCAGGTAGGTGAACCGGCAGTTCAGGAGGAAGAAAGCAAAGGCTGAATAAAAAGAGCAAAAATTGGGAAGGGGCTTAAATGGTAGCAGAACCCAGGTCTGTCTCTACTGCTCCAGGAATGAATATTTGTCGTTAAATATTTGCCCTCAGAGGGGCGCCTGGGTGGCGCAGTCGGTTAAGCGTCCGACTTCAGCCAGGTCACGATCTCGCGGTCCGTGAGTTCGAGCCCCGCGTCGGGCTCTGGGCTGACGGCTCAGAGCCTGGAGCCTGAAACGATTCTGTGTCTCCCTCTCTCTCTGCCCCTCCCCCGTTCATGCTCTGTCTCTCTCTGTCCCAAAAATAAATAAAAAAAAAAGTTGAAAAAAAAAATTAAAAAAAAAAAAATTGCCCTCAGAGTTCTACTCCTATCCTTCATCAGAGCTTTCACGTTAGTAAGAAAAGGTAACATTCTATTTTTACAAGCTTTGGGGACAAGCTTTTATTTTTATCCTTCACATCTCATCAAAATCCAAAGAGTATTGCTTAAAAATGAAATATGTGTTTCTTGTAAACTCAACAGAACTTTATGGTTAGTGATGAAAAAAACCAAGGAGTGAATACAAGATTTGATCTACATTCAATTTGATTGTTTCTCAATATAATTTTTCTTGAACTGTATACATTTTCTACTAGAAACTACATGAAGAGGCCTTCTAGAGTTTAATTACATTTCTTACCTAAAGGTAACTCTTAAGAGAATCTTAAATTCTGTCTGATAGACAGAAATAGTGTTTTATTTTACAGTCGTTATTAGTCAACACATGAAAAAAACAATTATGTGACTTAAATTTTATGGGGATAAAATTAAAATGTTATTAGTTTTATTTAAATGGAAATAACGAAAAGTCACACAGTAACTTTCACATGCTCTCTGTACTCTTAACAAAACACTCATACTACCTTTGGGCCACTTCCCACAGAGTTTGTGTACATTCTTTCTCAAGTAGTTTTCAACCAAACAAGCAAGGTCATTTTTAAATGTTTAAAAAACCAAACAGTCATGGGGTAAGTAGTGAAAGATACGGAACGCAGTGGAAAACAGAACAAAGAGCCTCTCTTTTATGACTATTTAGTCATGGGCTTTCAATTCATGACTCTTTCAGTCATGGTCATTATTAGTTACTGGAATAATTAATAGTTGAACAAAATATTTTTACGGGAGGAAAATCCTGGAAATCACTATAAAATACAATTACCCAAACGTTCTCATTTAAATGTAAATATGATTACTAAAACATGTGGATAATATTAGGATTTTTACAACTGTTTGTTAGGAACTGACAAAAGAAATGCAAAAGGATGGCAGTTCAAAAAATCTGAGCTACTAAGTGGAAAAACATTCCCTTTATTTTATGTATTTGAAATTTCATTCATAAATCTGGCTGAGTCTAAGTTTAATCTATGGTTCTGTTCTTTACTTGAGCTACAGAATTTCGGTGGAGCTTCGCTTCTTTTTCTTTTCTTTCTCTCTTTCTTTCTTTCTTTCTTTCTTTCTTTCTTTCTTTCTTTCTTTCTTTCTTTCTTTCTTTCTTTCAGTGTTTATTTACTTATTATATATAGAGAGAGAATTGAGAGAGTGAGCAGGGGAGGGGCAGATAGAGAGGGAGACAGAGAATCCCAAGCAGTCTGCACGCTGTCAGCACAGAGCCCGGTGCGGGGCTCAAAACCACAAACTGTGAGATCATGACCTGAGCCGAAGCCAAGAGTCAGATGCTTCACCGCCTGAGCCCCCCGGGCGCCCACAGGCAGAGTAGGTTTCTCTGGATTCCTACCCACCAAGGATATTATTTCTAGCTACAGGTAGTTCTCCACCATGAACATGAAATCACGGTTGTCAAACCCGCCCCAGTTTGGCCTCATTGTTCCTGCTCTTGCCAAGGGCCAGCTTAACTTCGGCAGCCATGACAGAGTTAAGGGACAAATATGAGAGGGAAGAGTAAAGAGAGAACAGGTGGAAAGTGAAAGAAAGAAAAGAGGCTCAAAAAATAAGAGGGATGAAGAAGAAGAGGGGGTGAGGAAAGCCGTATCCAGAGCCCCCACACGGACGGGTGGAAGGAAGCCCCGCCAGCACCCCACAAGTAATCCTTGTGTATAAGGAGGGGTACTAAGTCTGAGTTGTGCCAAGTAGAAGACCAGGCTACAATTGCTGTCACCGTGCTGGACGTCCAGAACCTGCTCAAGGAGGGGAGATCGGATTGTAGCACTCACCTTATCAAGTTCACTTGTCAGTTTCTTATTTTCTTCAGTTAACAACACTTTTTCTCTTTCGTACTGTTGTTTGAACTCGTTTTCAAATTCTTCCCTTTCACTTTGACTAACACAATTCAAAACAGAAGACGAAAAAAAGGAATCGAGTCAGAGGTGAGACGACTTCCCAGACTGGCTGCTGTTCCTCATTTTACTCTGAAAAGTCGCACCATCTTGAAGGTGCCAAGTCCCAATCCTCCCCCTTAAAATTAAAAGTCACAATCATTTCCTTTTAATTAATACATCTGTCTGCCCAACATCTACTTTGTTTTTCATTTGAAACTCTGAGGAAGGCATCTGCGATCTGTAGTCATCATGATTGTGCTCACATTATGTGGCTGCACACAGACCACAAAGTATGGGCAAAGGTGGAGGTCAGGGAAAGAGGGGGACAGTGGGCGCCACACGATTCCTTCTCGGCTCAAGAGTGCTAGCAAACCCTCAGTGACATTTCCAACAGTCCTCTCAATGTATTCATCCCTTCCTCTCAGCCCTTCCTTCCTTCTTCCTTAAGTATGTACCTACCTACATACACACATATGCATGCACACACAAAAAATTTAATATTGTAAAACTTATTCATTTATGTTTATTTATTATTTTTGAGAGAGAGAGAGAGAGAGAGAGAGAGACAGACAGACACACAGCGTGGGCAGGGTAGGGGAAGACAGAGAGGGAGACACAGAATCCGAAGCAGGCTCCAGGTTCCGAGCTGTCAGCACAGAGCCCGAGAGCCCGATGCGGGGCTCGAACTCGTGAATTGCGAGATCATGACCTGAGCTGAAGTCAGATGCTTACCCACCCAGGCACTCCTACACAACTTATTTAAAGAGGTAGTTCTGAGGGGCACAAGTGATTCACCCTTAGAGGCAAAAAGAGTTCTAACAGACTTTGTACAAAACACCAAAGAGAGAAAGGGGAATCAGTGTTCAAACATGGAGTTGCTATACAGATGAAGATCTATCTATTTTTTGTTGTTGTTGTTTAGAGAGAGCGTAAGCACAAGTGTGTGTGAAGGGGAGAGAGGCAGAGGGAGAGACAGAATTTTAAGCAGACTCCACACTGGGCATGGAGGGCACCCAGATGCCCCAAAGAGGCTTATTCTCAACAACCAATGGGTCCATGAGTAAATAAAAAAGAAATAAATTCATCAAAAAATACATGGAGACAAAGGACAACGAAAACGCAGTGGTCCAAAATCTTTGGGAGACAGCACAAGTTCTAAGAGGGAGCTATCCAGTAATAAAGGCTAACTGAAGAAACAAGAAGCTCAAGTAAACAATCTAACTTTTTACCTCAATTAGAAAAAAAGACAAATGAAACCCAAAGTGGGTAGAAGGAGGGAAATAAAGAAGATCAGAGGAGAAATAAATGACACAGAGGGGCGCCTAGGGGGCTCAGTTGGTTAAGTGTCTGACTTTGACCCAGGTCATGATCTCACAGCTCGTGGGTTCGAGCCCCGTGTCGGGCTCTGTGCTGACAGCTCGGAGCCCGGAGCCTGCTTCAGATTCTGTGTCTCCCTCCCTCTCTGCCCCTCTCCCGCTTGTGCTCTGTCTCTCTCTCTCTCAAAAATAAATAAACATTAAAAAAATTAATAAAAAAAGAAATAAATGAAATAGAGATTAAAAAAAAACAACAATGAAACCAAGAACTGGTTCTTTGAAAAGATAAAACAAAATTGATAAACGCTTACCCAGACTCATCAATAAAAAGACCCAAATACATTAAATCAGAAACAAGAGAAAAACTGACACTACAGAAATACAAAGAATCAAGAGAATTCTGTGAAAAAGTATATGCCAACAAATTGGACAAACTAGCAGAAATGGATTAATTCCTAGAAATACACAATCTTCTAAACTATATCAGGAAGACACAAAAAATCTGAATAGACCAATTACTAGTAACAATACTGAATCAATAATCAAAACACCACCAAAAAATAAAAATCCAGGACCAGATGGATTAACATGTGAATTCCACCAGACATTTAAAGAAGAGTTAATACCTGTTCTCCTCAAACTATTCCAACAAACAGAAGAGGACAGAAAACTTTCAAATTCATTCTATGAGGCCAGCATTACCCCATTACCAAAACCAGACAAAGACACCACCAAAAAGAAAAGGAAAAGGAAAAGGAAAAGGAAAAGGAAAAGGAAAAGGAAAA